TATATATATATATATATATATATATATATATATATATATATATATATATATATATATATATATAAACCACCCCATCCTTGTACTCATCACTCAGCGCGTAGGGGGCCTACCTCCAAACAAAAATTTGATAAAATTGATGTGAATTGATATGACGGAGGATAAGAATCTCTTTGGCGGTGGCAGCCGGTTATGCACCATGAGGTGAACGACACGTAAGGGGCCCACACAGAGGAGAAGAATCCTGCTAATGTTCTAAACTTTTTGTTGTTCAAAAACTCGGGTAAGATCACTCATGTGTATCGAACGATCCTCATCAAGGTAACCACGTAGGCCCCTTAGGCACCGCGCATTCCATGGTGCGTAACCGGCTGCCACCTCCATAGAGATTCTTCTTATCCGTCATATTTTAAGGTTATTTTTTGTAATGTTTTTTTTCTTTCCAAAATGACTATTTTGGTCAAGAACCTGTATAAATACTGCATTTTCACACGTGTGGTTTCATGTGTGAAACAACAAATGAGAATTGGTTTGTAAGTTTGTATGATTTACTGGGTATCTAAATGATTATGCATATATGATCCAGATCAAAAGAGAAGGTGCTCAATTACTAGAAAGCAAGAAGTTCCAACCGGGCATGTGGGTTTGCTAATGAACTTAAACTTAAACTAATACATGATCATCTCGATGTACCCTTGTGTTAGACATTATGTCACTCAAAATCGATGATAAAATGTTATTTAGTTATAAAAAATACATAGAAATATGAATACACTATATTAAATAAATATAATCATATCCATAAAACCATAAAATTGCATCTATTTGGTCATACACAATCCACCAATTGGTCACATATATAATAAAGATCAAGAAACAAATGATAACCTCATGATGAAGAAGTTGAATTAAAAAGTAGATAAGTTTTGTATTGATGCTACCCTAGTGAGGTGATGTTAGACCCCACTATGTTTGTGGGTGATGCCAACACCAATTCCCATATGAAGATGACATGTATACCAATATAGCTACAATTGTATAAATCTATTATATATATATATATATATATATATATATGTAGCATAACAAAGGAACAAGATTTTAAAATTAAGTTTGCTCAAATAGTTACTAGTCAAAAATAGTCTAAAAATTCATATATTAAATTATATATGTGTATTATTGAACATATGATTACAAGTTTTATCCCTTTGATTTATTGATGAGATTTGGGGCAAAGAAAAAGGGGTGTTCAAACTTGTTTAATGGGTTGCAAGCATAATATCTCATTGATGTTGGAAAGAGATATGGAATCTCAAGTGGTAAGTCAACCCCACAAGAAAATGTTTGGTGAACCAAGAAGCACCACCATTCAAAACCACCCCCTCACTTTCTATATAAAAGAAACCACATACAACATCTTCAACACAACACAGACCTCTCTTGTAAATCAAAACAAACCCACTTCAGTATTTCTTGATTCATGCTTCCCCTACCATATAATCAGTGATCATTCTTCCGTAGAATATCTTTCTTGTTTAAATCTTGTCTTTTCTTATAAAACAGATTCGATTTTTCGGTCACCTGATTAAAGCAGAGGCTAAGAGAGAGATGAAGATGATAGGAAACAATAACATGGGCAGCTCGACAAGAAGGATTTCAACAAGAGGATTTGGAGGAGTGCTTAAAGAGCAAAAAGCAAGACTGTATATCATTAAGAGATGTGTGGTCATGCTTCTTTGTTATCATGATTGATTCAGTTCATAGTTTACTTAGAAGTTTTCTTTTTGTCGGAAAGATTGTAAGTAGAAAAATGACGACACAAAAGAGCTTCAACAGTTTTGTAACCATATATCTTGGCTTTTGATTTGCGATTTTATACTAGATATTAGTTTTACTTACGAGTTTTTGAAATTATTTAACTTCAAATTGAATTTGAACAGATGATTTGATCATGATTCATTTCTTTTCATATACGTCTTCATCTTTCTCTTATCTTGATCTTTTTATTTTTTAAAAAGTTATCCCGTTGCTGTTAGTCAAAGATGTTGGTGGGCCTACGATAAAGATGACAATAGGTATTCTTATTTGATTGAATCCTAATGTTATTTTTAAAAAACAAGACGAATAGTATTTCAATAAAAATAACTTCTGAAAGATGAAATCATATAATAGTACTAAATTTTTTATATTAATAATGCAATATTGGACTATAGTTCATATTTTGGTGTCCAATTGTATGTTGTCCACTATCTATTATCATACTTTTTCAAGGATTATATCACATAAAATTGAAGTTAATTTAGAATGAAAGTAAAAGTCAAAGTACACTTTGTTTTTTTTTTTCAAAATTCTAAAAAAACTTAACAAATTATTTATTTTAAATGATTAGATCCTTAAATTATTTTCTTCAATGATAAAACCCTTAAACTTTCTAAAATCGGTTAAATATATTCTTTTAACCTGTAAAAATAGGTTAATGTGATAAAAATTTGGAAAAAGTTTAAAAAAACCCTCAAATAAGTCTCTGTTCTTTTAACAAATAAATCCCTAATTGTTTTCCTAAATCATTTTATCAAATAAGTTCTTAAACTTTTTTTTGAACAAATAAATCCCAAACTTTTTTGAAGAAGCAAAATCATCAACTTAATTTTGAACAAATAAATTCTAAACCTTTTGGGAACAGAATCATAAACAAAAAAATATATACAATCCTTGCACCGACAACTAAGTACCATGAACCAATTAAACAAAGAAAAATGATATCGTTTCCATTACTAATTCTAAAACATACAAAAGTTATACCTAAAGTTTAAATAGATACATACAAAAATATTTATACATATAAAAATTAAGTTAATGAACTGAATTTATGTTTTAAACATGCCTTTTATATGCTCTGGACTTAGTAATGAAAATGGTAAAATATTTCTCTGTTTAATTGATTTATTGTACTTTGTTGTCAGTGAGACGAATTGTATATATATATTTTTTTCATGATTTTTTTTCAAAAAAAATTCGGATTTGTTTGTTCAAAATTAAGTTGATGATTTATTTCTTCAAAAAAAAAAGTTTGGGATTTATTTGTTCAAAAAAATTTCAAAAATTTATTTGGTAAAAAAATTTAGGAAAAACTTTAGAGATTTTTTTGTTAAAAAAATAGGACTTGGTCATTTAAAATTAGATAGTTTGTTAGGTTTTTTAGACCTTTTCCGAAATTTTTACCACATTAATCTGTTTTTACAAGTTACAAGACTGTATTTAACCGGCTTTAGAAAGTTTAAGGGTTTTATCATTTAAAAAAATAGTTTAAGAACTTAATCGTTCAAAATTAGATAGTTTGTTAGATTTTTTAAAAATTTTATTTTTTAAAAAAAATAATCTTTTATTCAATATATAAATTGAAATATTTGGTTTTCATGGAAACTCATACGGCTTCAATTATTTAATTTTATTTAAACTAGCATAATTTATTTATTAATTTTAATTATTAAATATAGAGTTTCACCAACCAAATCAAGCACCAAATATTGTTCTCAATAAGATAAAAACCATATATTAAAATTATATATGCCTTTGAGTTCCAAAGTTTTTGGCTGATTTCTGTAGGAATATGTCTCCCTTTGTTATTCTTTTTAGTAAAAGTGTTTAATTATTATTTAAGTATATATATTTTTTATACAAATCTTATAAATTAATTTTTTATGTGTAGTTTCATATATGTAATAATATGTGTAAAAGTACGAAGTTGTTTTATATATAAAACATTTAAAACTGTTTTTTTGTTCAAACAAAACAGTCATAAATGTTTTATATATGAAACAACACATGAAAACTTGTTTGTAAGTTTAAACGATTTCTTGGGTTTACAAATGATGTGTTTATTTAAATATTTAGCATATTATATAAAGTTAAAATGTATGCAGTAGTATTCAATTTTTTTATCAATTCTTATTTTAGAAAGTATACTTAATTTGCATCAATTTTAGGCAAAATATTTGATTTTTTTAAATGATATTATGTTATAAAAAGTAACTAGTGTTTGACACCATTATATGGTATGGTGACAATATCATATGGTGACAATATCATATGGTGACAATATGATGTTGTATGGTGACAATATCTTTTTTGAAATTATTGAAGTTAGTTAAATGAGTTTAACTATTATATGGTCTTTGATGTTCAATCTTTACTTGTCATATGATCCCACTTCCACACAGAAGTTTCTAGAGACTGTAAACTCTCATATGGTATTTGATATTCAATCTTCACTTTTAGACATGTCAAACATCGTTAGACATATTATTGCAATATCCTTCTTCAATCCTGGACACTAATAAGATGGTTTTAAATCTTTGTACATCTTATTGGTACATTGATGAACTGAGTATCGTGATATGTGACTCTCGTCTAAAATCAGTTCACAGTTGTCCCTGAAACGTGGTATCCAATTTCTGCCTTGTAAACATAGAATCCCTTTGTTATTCTTTGTCAGAGTTGAAATTATCCCTCCAACTCTTTCGGCCTTGAAATTTTCTTCTTTGACAGCTTTACCTTGACATCTTAGAATTTCATTATGAATATCAGAAATTAAGCTTGTTCTCAACGCAATGACTTTAATTGTTCCATTCTTTTTTCTTTCGACTAAGCGCGTCAGCCACCATAGTTGCTTTCCTAGGGTGATAAAGAATTTCACAGTCATAGTTATTCACCTATTCAATCCACCGTCTTTGCCGCATATTTAGTTCTTTTTTATTAAACAAATGTTGAAGGCTTTTATGGTTAGTGAAAATCTGACATTTGGTTCCCAACAAATAATGCATCCAAATTTTCAATGCAAAAACAACGGCTGCAAGCTCCATGTCATGAGTCGGGTACTGTTTCTCGTGATCTTTTAACTTTCTGGAAGCGTAAATAATAACTTTCCCTCTCTGCATTAATACACATCCCAAACCCGTTTTGAAGCATCAGTGTATACCATAAAATCTTCAAACCCATCTGGTAAGGAGAATATCGGAGCACTGCATAGATGATTCTTTAACAATTGGAAAGCTTTACTATGATCTTCTCCCCATTCATACTTAGCACTTTTTCTTGTCATCTTGGTCAATGGGGCAGCAATACGTGAGAAGTCTTGAATGAATTTCCGATAATACCCCACAAGACCCAAGAAACTATGAATCTTGGTTGGGGGGGGGGGGGTTCTCGGTACTTCCCAGTTCTCAATAACTTCAATCTTTGCAGGATCTACTTTTACTACTGCTTCAGAAACAACATGACCCAAGAACTAGACTTTCCTCAACCAAAACTCACACTTGGACAATTTGGCATACAACTTTTCTTTCTTCAAGAGCTCAAAAATTAAACGAAGATGCTCCGTATGCTCCTCTTCGGATCTTGAGTATATAAGAATATCGTCGATAAATACAATAACAAATTTATCAAGATATTCGTTACATACCTGGTTCATTATATCTATAAATGCCGCTGGAGCATTTGTTAGACCGAATGGCATGACCAAAAACTCATGATTTCTGTATATGGTTTGGAATGTTGTTTCGGCAATGTCTTCGCCTCTAACTTTCAGTTGATGATATCCTGACTGTAAATCAATCTTTGAGAAATAACTTGCTCAAACTAGTTGATCAAACAAATCATCGATTCTTGGTAAATGATATTTATTCTTTATTGTCAGCTTATTCAGTTCTCGATAATTAATGCACATCTTTATTGTCCCACCTTTCTTTTTAACAAACAACACCGGAGCACCCCAAGGAGAAGTACTCGGTCTGATTAAGCCTTTATCAAGCAATTCTTTTAGTTGGGTCACTAATTCTTTTAATTCTTTTTAATTCTAAAGGTGCCAGGCGATATGGAGCTTTAGCCACTAGTGCTGCCCCATGCGTCAAATCAATTCTAAACTCCATAGATCTTTCAGGTGGTAAACTAGTCAGATATTCTGGAAATAACTCGGGATATTCACAAACAACATGAATAGACTCTTGTTTACCTTTTCTTTATTTGAATCAACCACATAAGCTAGAAAACATTGACACGCTTTCTGAACACATATTCTGACTTTCATGACAGATACCAGGCTGTTGTGATGATTCCGCCGATCACCATAAATCAAAATCGGCCCTTTTCTCGGTAAATCAATAATGATCATCATTTTATTGCACACAATACTAGCTTGGTTTTCTGCTAATCAATCCATGCCTACCACAACATCAAATTCTCTCATCGGTATTGGAACAAACGAATTAGGAACCCACACCCCTCAATTTTAATTTGACAATTATCAAAAACACGGGTAACAGATAGTTGACTATTATTAGCAGTGTTAAGTACTAAAGAGGCACAAAATTCACGTATAAACACCCAGAAAATAGAGGTGATACAAATGAATCATTAGCACCAGAATCAAATAGCACCTTGGCATATACAGAGTTGATAAGAAAGGTATTTGTTACCACATCAGGGGTTTCCTTTATCCCTCCTTTTTGTCATCTGAAAAGACCGGCCCCTCGCCTTATCTGACTCACCTCTTCAGATGTTAACTCCCCCCACACGTACTCGGAGTATTTCCACCCAAAGTCAGTCTTGGAGCCTTTAATTGAGGACAAGCTGGCTTGATATGGTTGAGAGAATTACAATGAAAACTTCATTAAGGAATCAAGAAAAATTTATGGACAAGTGACCCTGCTCTCCACATCTGTAACACTTCCTCTGATCAAAGATACAATCACCTTGATAGACACGGTGATATCTCTGGCACAGTCTTTCGCTAAATCGTTGGGCATGACGATTTTCCATCTTTACAAATTTCAGTCTTCTATATTCAGTCGAAGACCCTTCCCATTTTCTCTTCTTAATTACCTTCTCCTGTCCTTGTC